TTTGGAATAGGTTACATAGACCCCCAACTAGATAGGAACGTAGATCCCCACTCAACATGTATTGGAAACCATGCCGCGATCTATTTGGGGACCACTATAGAAGAGTCGTGACCGAGCCATCGAGTCGGTGGGTCTTCCAACGGCCAGCATTGGCAGAGGCATGACCAACATGGACGCTGTCAAAACCAGGCTTGCCACCATCAATGTCCCCATACTTGAGGTGGTACTGGGCGCCGCAGCACCATCAGAGCTCGAGAGGAAATATGATTCTCTCTCTTCTAACATGGTGCGCCTGCCCTCCACATGCACCACCGGTTCGAACCGTTATTTGTATGATCACAGCAAGTAATCACCCTTATTCATCCCTTTCCACATTTAGTTCGATCAAGCACCTAATATCACCTAATCTTCACGTCCGATCCAGTCAGTCACTTTCTGAGTCACAGACGCTCCAGGATGAGGCGCCCAGCGAGGTGCAGGAGACTTGAGAAGATGAGCGATCAGGGACGAGCGAAACAAAAACCAGTGGAGAAAAGTGAGGCGGTTTGGTTGCCTGAGGACTAGGGTGGGTGAGCTTTTTGGGGGAGATCGGATAGAGCGGAAAGATGGGTGAGGATCGAGAGTCGGCGAGCCTAGTCCACAAGAATCACCAGTTCTGAGCTGCAAAGTTTGAAGTCTAAGCTGCAAAAGCGTTTCAATGAAAGCTTCCATCACTGTATCGATTTTGTCTCCGTACCCCATGTTGATCTAACTTCTCTTGCGCCCGATCTTGAAATACAAGACAACCTGGTGTTCACATCGGGTACTCTCCCTCAAAACCGTCTCAAGCTCCCTCACAACAAGAAATTCACGTTGTTTCCCCACATTGCAATATTTTCTACTTATAATATACCCCTTAGGTCCCTTTGTCCCACGTCCCTTCGGATGGCTATTTACGGGGGGAATTGGCTGCCCCGTCAAGGTGGGTCATCGAACAGGTCAACACCTTCGCACAGGCACTCGGTTTCCCCAGCAACATGGAGCAAATAGATGTCCCTACGTCCACCCAGACGGCTCCATGTATGGCATCTTTGAATTATTTTTACCTACAATTGGGATGGTTTCAGGGGTCCGGAGTCTGTCAATATGCCAGGTCCCATGGAGTGTCTGGCAGTTTTTTTACCATCTTGACCCACTTTTCGTTCACGACTGCGGCATGAACGGATCAAAACGTCGGTGGCGAGTCCGCGCGGCCAGGCCCTGGCCGCCCTGCCAGAAGCTGCTAGGGTCGGGGAGACGGGTTGGGGCGTGGGGGTGGGAGGGAGCGAGCAGGGTGGGTGTGGTAGGTGAGGTTTCACCAATGTTTGGATGCTTTTGGCAGGCGCCAGGTGCTGACCATGTGATTTATCAACTGGCACGAGAGCTTAAGAAGGCACCAACAGGCTTGGGCTCCAAATAGTGCTTGGGGGGTGCCAACTTCGGGGTGTGGTTGGTTTCAACTCTTTTCCAAGCACGAGGTCGAAACGCTGGCATAGCACCCTTGACCTTGTGGTTTTTGGTCTTTCCATCCGTTTCCTTTTGTGCATTCCGTTTCCTGGTGTTTTTTGTCCATCGTTTTCTTGACCCTCGTTCTTTTCTCCCGGTGTCATCTGGTGTCGCTCGCTCTCGCGCGCGCTCTCTCTCTCTCTCTCCCCGTGCCGCTTAGCCCAGCCGAAGACAGTTTGGGAGGTTTGAATGGAGGAATTGGATAGGCCGCCAGGCCTGCGTGGCGCAACGGTGGGTCTTGAGGCAATCGATTGCCGCTTAATAGGAGGCATCAGCAGTACCCAGCCCCCAGCTGCAAGGTAAACAAAAGGGACCAGATTGAATTGAAGAGTCATCATGATTGCTTCATGCAGTCAAGATGCATCCACTCCCTGATTCAGTCATTGGTGTGAAGGGCCAACCGGCGTTAGCCGACCGGCTTGCGTGGGCAGAAAGGGGGTAATTAAGCCGACCCATTCGCTCCAGGCGGGGAAGATCGCAAAGGTCAAGGAGGGCATCTTGAAACGCCTCAAGGAGCAGGTACGGTGCTGCTCGTGCCGATGTGTTTTTTTCGCCGCCGCTCGTGGAGCTCACGGTGTCCGGCTCCGGACGGATGGAAGCCCTTCCAAAACAGTTGAAGGCTACTTTCGTATCAAATCATGTTTCAACCAAGAACTTGGGTGGTGAAATGGGTCCGTTCTTGTTCCTCGATTTCGGAGCGTCTGCGCACAGCGACGGAGCTTTCGTGCTGCCAAGCGGGGCCGCCTCCCCCCCAGGCCCTCCTAGACCGGTCAACGCACAAAGCAACAAGCCTCCATAGAGCACCTGGAGAGGTGGGGTGGCAAACTCAAACCCACTCAAACCCACTCAAACCACCATGACTTGGGCCAAAGTTGGGCTCCTATAGCTGCCTCTCTTCCAACCTACGTCGAAACGCATGGAAACACTAAACCACCTCACCAGGCGAACAATGCGAGTCCTCCAGTCCGAGAGCCTAGCGGAGTTCGCTGTGGCACGTGTTGCACTCACTTGCCACTGCTCTTGGATGAGAAAGAGCAAGAAGGTACACGTGTTTCCCGGCATGGTTGATGAACATTTTTTCACTGCACTGGTTTCTACGGGTGGCTCCAGCTTGACTATGGTAAATTCTTCTGAGGTCGATCCACTTGACTTGAAATTTGAGTGGCTGTCATTGTTCTGTGCATTCGTCGTAGATGTGCAGCAGATCATTTTTGTGGATGCTCGGGTGCTGCTCCGCGCCGTGTGCTTCGGGCATTGGACTGCCGCTGGTGAGGTGCCGACGACCGCGGGAACCTTAGGTTGGACGCCTGCTGGAGGAGACTCGACTGACTTGACCCAAGGAAGGCTCAGAGCACTTCATGAAATATGAGCAACTTGGAAGTGTCTTTTTGCCGAAGATTTGGAGGCTCAGACATATGCGTCATGTCTGCTCTGAGCACCTCAATTGAAGTTGAACTGCCTTTCAGATGCCTCAGTGTTTTCATGTCGGCACCTGATATAGCCGCCGCCCTCATGTCCCCGTAGCAGGTCGGAGGGTGGACCTAAATCATGTGGACACCTACTAAATTACTATAATATAATGTGGAGGCGGGGTCAATCATGAGGGAGCCCAAAACCTAAGTTACGTGGAAAGAAATTTGGGGGAGGTTATTTATTGATTGTAATAGATATTATATATAGGGCTTACTTATAGGGCAACCCCTGTGGGAGCTTGAAAAAAACAGATATCATTATGTTTGATAGGGCTTTATAACGAATTTCATCCAGGACTTTCTGGGAGTGGCTTTGGGCTTCTGGGCGATTTGGGTGGATTTGGGGCTAGGTGAAGAGCAGTGAGACTTGATGACATGAGTCCGGGGAGCATTGAGATTTATTAAAAGAGCCGGGGGAGAAGGAGAATTGGGTGAGCAGGAGGCTGAAGATATGGAAGAAGATCAACCAGTTCTTGAGCAGCAGGATGCCACCATGGATGAGCAGTTGCTGCCGGTGAGCGTTTCAGGTTCATTACATTTGCCGCGAATACCCGCCCTAGTTGGCCAATGTCCTGCTCAATGATTTGTACTGAGTGGGCAAGTGACCAACAGCAAGAGAGGCGATTGGTTATTAACTGGGTGGGGTGGGGTGTTTGTGGGCACCCAGTTTTGGAATACAGGCAAGATTTTTTTAAAGGCGATTAGCATTGCAGGCAAAAGCGGAATCATTAAGGGGGATAAGTTAATCATGGCTTTGCATTGCTCCGGTCCATGTGTAGGCAAAAGGATGCATCCGAATGAATTCGCAGAAGCGTGCTTTGGCTCATCGCGCACCTTTCGCTACTGCAGTCTTGTTGCCTTACTCAGGAGTGATTTTTGGGCTGCTTCGACGCACGTGGCATGATCCGGCCGCCCACCCGTTTGAGATTAAAATATATAAGCCAATTCCAGCGGCGTTGATACAATCCAGTAGTCTTGCAGCTAACTCGATGGATAGTTGTCACCCTGAATAAAGGGGCCCAAGTGAAGTCTCTTCATTTTGCTCTCAGAGCTACACTACCTCAGTTAAGGCGCCTGCTGCTCCTGGAGTGCACGGAACCCATAGGGCAGCCGAACGCGGGTGGCACTATGCGCGAAATTTGATTGTAGACTGTTACAGCCTCTTTATTCAAAAAGCTTCCATATGAAAGGGTAAAAAACAATCCTGGTACTTGTAATCAACAGTTAGCATTGTTTTTTTTTCTGGGTGTGTGTGTGTGTGTTAATTACTGTCTTTTTTCGGGATGCGATGGGCAGTTCCAGCTCCAAGCCCTAGGAAGCGATCTACCCTGCTTCCTGCTACGGGGTGGCATTTTAAACATATAGGTTTCTTCAGATAGGATATGCCCATAAACACGAATAATCAACAGTCCTGTTTCAAGCGCCAAATTATTCACGAACGAAGGTAATTCATCAACTCACGACAACTCATTCCCGCATGCCCTGTTCCGAATGTTCCCAACAGAAACACCACTGGTGACTAGCAGGGGTGAGGTTTAAGATTAAGACACCTCCAGACGTGCACCCATTGGGACGTAGAAAACCGCGAAAGCAGAAAAGGAGAAGGATGGATGTCCTGCACTTAGGGGAGCAAAGCCGGGCACCTGGTAAGCTAGAAGGAAAACATATGAACACATCGATTAGGGCAAGACTTCAGATGGAAACAACCAACCAGGTTGAAGACTTGTGAGTTTTTTCCCCAAATGCTTTGGACTTTGGGCACTAAAAAGCGCTGAGGCTTTTTGAGGGGGTACTGTACATTTTTTGAAAGTTTCTTTCTTTTTTGTATGCTCTGCGTCTGTAACACGGATCTCGGACATGACATGACCCCCGTTCTCCAAATGTTTGCAAGATTTGAGGAAGGTGATCACGAGGTGATCAGGAGGGCACTAAACAATTCTGGACCAGGTGTTCAAACAAACAGCTTTAAAGACATGTATATCCATGGTCGAATTGTCCAACTGATTCATTTTGTGGCTCCCCCCCCTTGTTGCTTGAAACGACCATCTGCTTCACCGGTCGCCCTCCGTCGCCCATTCTTGGCTCCAGCCGTTTCCGCAACCGGACGGTTGCCGGTTGCGGACGTGACTTGGTTCCCAGAGGTTGGTTCCAGTGACTGGGCGTTCGGTTGGAGTACATGATATGACCCTCCTTCCAAAACAGACATGGAGGTGCACAAGTTGTCCCACGTTTTGTTGGGCTTTTGGTGGAGTTCGTTATTTTTTACTCTAAATAGGCCATGCCATCCAGATCCATGATGGTTTCGGGGAGTGTCAACCTTTTCAAAGCTGTCACCCTGAAACTCCATGAGTGGAGTTCTAAATAAACCATTGGCAGTCTTCCTTGGCTAGGTGTGCTAATTCAGACAGTTGTTCAAGTTTGGGCACAGATAAGCTGTTCACGGTTGAGGACAGGAATGGACACAGGGGAGCAGCCCTCATAAATATTGGAAACAAGACTGACTCCTCAAGCCAGGCATGGCCATGATGGAATTCCTTCCTCCAAGTGCCCAAACACGCCAAAGGAACCCAGACAGAGGGGAGGAGCCTTTAGTGGAACCTCATCCACTTGGAGAAGAGGGATGCCATACTCAAGCTTTGCAATGACCAACTCTTCCAACTGCTTCCCTTCGACCACTGTGCCTGGCTGTTTGTGAGACGATCGGCTTTCTCCCTCAGATTCCCTTGAGCGATCGCCGCTTGCGCGACCCAAAGAAGCAGGCGTAAGCAAACATGTTCGAACGTGTTCAGAAGCATGGAAGACATAGAAGAACATGTTCAAAGAAAAAATACGTGTTTGATGATTTAGTTCCAACATTTACTGTAGTTGGCCTCGTTCTATAGGCACCTCTTCTCTAAAACCACATATATAATTATGTATATAGTAGTTCGGGGGCATGCTGGGTGCGTTTCGGTGCAACATGGGCGGTGGACGCCTCGGTGCAACATGTCCAGTGAGGCCCGAACATTGAAGATGATGAGGCCCTTCCTGAACGGATGTGGGCGGCTTTTTGCAGGGAGCGGGTTGGTTTCAAGATGCGTCTATGCGTGCCGACCATGGTTTATGAGGGGTCCTCGCGCCCCACCCATGAAGAAGATGCGTGCGTGCAGCTGCGTGCATCGAGCTGCGCGATTCGCGGGATGGAGTGGCGAGTAGTTTTGCGGTTGTGCGGGCTTTGATAATTATAATTGAGCGTCTCCGGAGTGCACGACCTGAGGAAGACGGCGCCTGCTGAGGAAGACGGGGGATTTTCTTTTGCATGGCATAGTTGTTCTTTGGAGGGATGATGGGTTGCAGGAAGACTGTCTGAACTCTCCACAACGCCGGGATGGGGAAAATGGTTACGGTCGCTTGGAGGACCACTTCTCTTGGTAAACAATGCTTTCCACTTCCATCACAAGCCCGAAACATCATCATCCTCATCCTCATCCTCATCCTCATCCTCATCCTCATCCTCATC